TCCTCCTCCTCCTCCTCCTCCTCCTCCTCCTCCTCTTCCTCCTCCCTTCTCCTCCTCCTCCTCCCTCCTCCTCGTCTTCGTCCTTCTCCTCCTCCTCCTCCTCCTCCTCCCTCCTCCCCCTCCTCCTTCTCCTCCTTCTCCTCCTCCTCCTCCTCCTCCTTCTCCTCCTCCTCCTCCGCCTCCTCCTCCTCCTCCTCCATCCCGCGGCCCTCTGGGGGACTGTGACGTGCGAAACTGTCGCTACTCTGTGTCCCTCAATAGTTCTGGGTCCCCGGGCTACATGTACCCCTCGGACCAGAGGTACCCCCTCCCCGAACTACAGGTACCTCTCCCCCGGACTACAGGTACCCCCCCCCAGACTACAGGTACCCCCCCCAGATTACAGGTACCCCCCCCAGACTACAGGTACCCCCACAGGACTACATCCACGCGTGCGTTGACGCGTGAACACTCGTTCCCCCCCCCCAGACTGCAGGTCCCCCCCCCAGACTGCAGGTACCTTTCCCCGCACTACAGGTACCCCGCCCTGGACTACAGGTACGTAACCCCCAGGGGGTCCAGCGGAGTGGAGTTACAGCGGAGTGGAGGTCGCGGCTCCCTGGGGGGCTGCGGAGTGCGAATTGATCGCCGTGTTCGTGGGTTCAGCGGAGGGGAGTTACACGCGGGTCCAGCCGAGACCTCGCGGCCCCCTGGGGGGGGCTGCGGCCTGCGCAAGTGTCGTCACGCTTGTGGGCTTTTGGGAGGTCCAGCGGAGCCGCGACCTCGCGGCTCCCTTTGGGGGCTGCGACGTGCGAACACGTCGCCATGTTCGTTGGTTTTTGGGAGGCCCAGCGGGGTGTAGCTACGCGCGGGTCCAGCCGAGACCTCGTGGCCCCCCCGGGGTGGGCTGCGACGTGCGCCATTGTCGCCATGCTCGTGGGTTCCTGGAAGGTCCAGCGGGGTGGAGTTGCATGCGGATCCAGCCGAGATCTCGCGGCTCCCTTAGGGGGCTGCGATCTCGCCACCTCTGCGGGCTCCTGGGAGGTCCAGCGGAGTGGAGTTACACGCGGATTCGGCCGGGGCTTCGCGGCTCCCTGAGGTGCGCGACGCGCGCAAGTGTGTCGCAAATCCCGTGGGTTCGTGGTGTGTCAAGCGGAGCGGAGTTGCACGTGGATCCAGCCGAGACATCGCGGCTTCCTGGAGGGGGGGGGTGCGACGTGCGCAATGATCGCCACTCTCCTGGGCTCCTTGGGGGTCCAGCGTAGTAAAGTTACACGCGGAGCCTTGCGAAGGTTGCGGAGTGCGATATTGTCGCCACTTTCGTGGACCGAGTGCCAGCGGCGGATCCGCACCGTCGTGGCCGTCTCACTACAGAGCACGTCGCGCATCCCACTGCGAGTGCCAAGCGACGCATGCCCATCGCGCCCCGTCGGAAGAGCCCTCTGACTACGGACTCGCAGACCGTACCGAGCGGGCCTAGGTACCAGCGCACCATCCCTTGCGATCCCTGCGCTGCAACTCACGATCCCATGGCCCATCGGTGGCGTGCTGGACGCCATGCTGAACCAATGTGTACAGCATTGCGCCATCTTGGATTCTGCCTTCAGGTATACAGCGCCACCGTGGAGCCATATTGCGTGCAAGTGGATTCTATGACCAGTCCGGTTCTACCCCCGCGCTGGACTCAGGGGAGGGCAGCAGAAACAGACGTCGCCGTCGGATGGACATCCATTAAGGGCAAATCCTAGGGCAGCCTAGCAAAGACGCACCCACCTCGTACAAGAATACGCCCTCCAGTTCGCGAGGCCTCCCTTCAGTCCAGAACGCTCGCGTAATGCGCTCTTCTGGAACCATGTGAAATCATGCTCACGTGTGTCTCTGCTTTGCTCTTCAATTGTCCAACAGGCTCCAGCTGCACCAGCGCGCCAGGTGCGTCACTGCACATGACAACACACACACGCACACTGTGCAATCTGTCGACACCCCCAGCACCCGTGTCAGAACAAATGCAGTGGCGGCCAGTTGGTCTGCCAGGTGTCAGTGAAACTTGTGTTTTGATACGGGTAGTTGGCGAATGCACGGCGGGCAAATACGACCCCCCGCCATCCTTGCCAAACCAGAGGGATCGCCCTGCGCTCGCTCTGAGTTGTTGTTGACAGGGGTGGTGAGTCGGGGCGCGTTTGGCTCCTGGTTGGTAGCTCGCTGGGGACGGGGTGCTTAAGAAGAAGGAGCAGTGACCACCCCTCCCCGAATGGGAAGAACAGGGACTGAATTGCATGATTTGCTAAGCCATCTACGCCTGGAGGGTTGGGAGGGGACTTTACGGTCCCATCCCTGCTAGAAACAATCAGTACGATTGCGAGGGCGGCCCAGACTACCACTTTGTACTAGCATCACCGTTCCACCGCTCATGCCCCCTGAGAGATAAGAAATGACGAATCGAAACCTGTTTTCCACGGGCACTGGCCGCTCCAGAACTACTGGAAAGCAGCAGGGCACTCGCTGTGCTGGCCTGCTGGGC